AAAAAAACTTTTTCTGACAGACTGATATGGCATAAACACTGTTAACCATACATTTGTACATTCTCTAACACGCATATTTTGGTTACACGGTTCATTTAAAAGCCTCTGGTGTGTAAAAATAGTAAATACCATTATGTCCTCCTGTTTTTTACAGTAATAAAAGTTATAGGAGCATTAAATAGTTAACAAAGAAATAATTTAGAACAAAATTCATTCTAATGCTCATTATATTAGCATTAGCCGCGCTTATGCTAACGATTAACTACGTATGTGCTAAGTGACAGTGACTTAGCGTCGGCGCCGGTTCAAGTCGGACTACATTTCTAACCGGCATGCACTGCTTCAAGTCAGCCGCCGATCGCCGCATGAAGTTGAACGCACCTATTGTCATCTAGCAGGCAGGCACTGCTGTAGTTTTAACTATTACGAGGACATACAAAATCACGATCTCTACGATTCGCTTGAAAAGTAGATTGTGGACGTCTTCAAGATCGATCACGATATAAAATCGTCGGACTGCCCACCCTCCTCCCAGTTTCTCAAGGCTATGTGAATTCTGGGGCGAATGAATATAAGAAATATCTTGATTTTGAATTGTTTCAATTGTTTGAATTAGTCATCACTGGCTCCTGAAACACACACACACACACACACACACACGTTATTAATCACACAGTTCTAGAAACATGACTCAAAGAAAAAATAAAACCTACTACAAATACATAAAACCAATTTATACAATACAATTTAATCCTGTCAATCAAACGCAGTGCTAAAACCCAATCCCAAATCATAACTGACTGGGATTTGACATCAATCTAAACATGACAGAACAACAACAACACTCAAAATCACATGCTGCCTATTAAACACTCGTGCTGTGCATATTTTTGCGCACACACACTCACTTACACATCGATGTTTCTGCTGTTTCACTTCCTGGTTTTCTAATGATCAGGATTTCACAGGACAGATGACAGCGGAGTGTAATAATCCACTATATCCATAAATAATGCAGATAACATAACACGCCCATCCGTATACAACCAACATCAGACACAAACAAAGAACACTGACCACAAACACAATGAAACCTTGAACTGCTCGATCTGATCGCTGTCCTTTCAAACAAACAAAACTGAGAAAAAATATGGAGCATTTCCTGCTCATGTCTGCAGTAAAACGTCAGATATCTCAATAAGCTCAATAACTTCTCATCTAATGATCTCCACATTCACTTCACCGCTCTAGACTCTGATCACTGAATGATGAAGAGAGACTCATTTAATACTTTTTTTTCATTTTCCTACTTAAGGAGAAACATCTGAGACAGACTTAAATGAGATGTAATTGAGAACTGAATTAAGTATTTATCTCTTAGAAGTTATAAAAGAGCAACTTCTGAGCAACAATTTATTAACTCTCACTAATGAGCTTCATAATACTCACTGCAAGAAATGAGTAGCATCATGTTGATACTTAAAACAACGTTGAATTGAACTCAAATGAGACGTGGCTGAGATTGTTACAGGCTCTGAGGAAGAGCATAACTTCATTAAAGCATATAAACTCAGTGTCTCCTGAGCTGTAAGCGACAGCAGGTTCACTGAAGCGTTGATCAATTTATTAACTCACTAATGAGCTTCATAATACTCACTGCAAGAAATGAGTAGCATCATGTTGATATTTAAAACAACGTTGAATTGAACTCAAATGAGACGTGGCTGAGATTGGATCATTTAATGCCAACTTTAGAGAGATTTGAAAAGAAGATGTATTTGCTGTGCAAAAATAAGCAT